TGCTATGTGTTATACTAGTGTTGTTCAATTTATCGTTTTTATCATGTTTACGGATTTTCTGGTGATAATTGAGTTTTTATTTCAAAGTTGAGACTGATGTTATGGAACTAAATATTGAAGTAAGGTTTGTACTTGGTATTCGATCTCCCTGTTGTTATTTATGCATTGCATTATGGTAAGGGAGATTGTTAATGCACAAAGGGTGATGCCGTACCATATTGTGGGTGTTAATGCACGAAGGGTGATGCCGTGCCATATTATGAGTGATAATGCAAGTGTGATGTCGTACCATATTGTGAGTGTTAATGCACGAAGAGTGATGTCGTGCCATGATATGAGTGTTAATGCACGAAGAGTGATGTCGTGCCATGATATGAGTGTTAATGCACGAAGGGTGATGACGTGCCATATTATGAGTGTAAAAGCACAAAGGGTGATACCGCGCCATATTGTGAGTGTTAATTCAGGAAGGGTGATGTCGTGCCATGATATGAGAGTTAATGCACGAAGGGTGATGCCGTGTCGTTTCTATTTATTTTATAATGAGATTGAGAGTAAAAGCACGAAGGGTGATGTCGTGCATTTTTTCTTACTGTATTCACTATTCCTGTTGATTCCTGGTATATTGACTGCTCCGATGATCATTTTGTAGTAGTTCTTTATCTTGCATTCCCCTCAGTATGTTCCCCTCCCGATGTTTCCTGTTTAGTTCTTTATTTCTATTATTTGTATATACACTGTTAAATTGTACAGGTTGATTTGTAGGTGCCTTACCTTAGCCTCGTCACAACTTCGTCGAGGTTAGGCTCGACACTTACCAGTACATGGGGTCGGTTGTACTGATACTGCACTCTGCACTTTCTGTGCAGATTTTGATACCGGCTCGGGTTGATCGAGATTTTTGCTATTGGTCCACTGTCCAAAGAATCAAGGTAGATCTGTCGGCGTTCACAGACCTTGAAGTCCCCGTCTATCTTTTCTGTTCTACTATTTTTTTCATTCACATAGTTATATTTCTTTCAGACTATTACTTGTAGTAAATTCTAGAATGCTCGTGAATTGTGACTCCAGATCCGGGTGGTAGGGATTAATACAGTTTTATAATATTCCGCACTTATTATATTTCATCTTAGTTAATTATTGTTAATTACTGAATGGAAATAAAAAATTAGTTTAATGATTCTCTAACGTTGGCTTGACTAGCAAGTGGAATGTTAGGTGCCATCACGGTCCCGTCGGTGGAAAATTTCGGGTCGTGACACTTTTTGAAATTGAAATAGTTTTGCATGATTCTTATTAAAATCATAGGTTGATATAAACGTTTTAAAAGATTTGTATCATGATTTAAATTTTTCTAGGCCTTTCATTCTAAATGATAAAGAATATGAATTGATATAATTGTTATCGTTTCATATCAAATGTTGGTCGCATTATTTTTGTAAAATCTTATCCCAGGAATTTGAGTTAGAAAGAGTCTATGACACTTATTGAGTACCGCGATGGTATACTCAGCCCTCAAGGGCCCCTCTCCAGGGTCCCGCTTACTTTGCATGTTTTCAGGATGAGACGTGGTACGTGATGAGCGGATGAGGCTAGGATGACTCTCTTTCTGAGGCATATAGTAAGGCACCACTTCTATTCCGAGGTAGCCTTCATGTTGATCTTACTTACTTTTGGTTGGGGGGGAGGGGGGAGGGGAGGGTTTCAAGTATTTATTTCATCCTTGTGTCTTAGAGATTCCATAAACAGTTGTTATTCTTTTGGAGCTTTAATAGAGAGTTATTCATATGGTATGCATGAAAGAAATATTGCTATTCTTTTGTGCTTTTCAATTATTGAAAATGATGGATTTAAATATTTTTATTTTATTTTTGATTTTAATCATTTAAAATGATCGTGTTTTCAAAAAGGCTTCCCATGTATCTATTTCGCATATAGATGAACATTCTTGTACGGTTTGATTCATCCGGGTTGGATCGTATGCCGGGTGCTGATCACGTAGTTTTGGGTCGTGACATGTATCTTCTATGTTATGTTTTCGGCTTACAAGTATATTATCAGCTTTACATACTCAGTACATTCTTCATACTGACGCCTTCAGGGCTATTTGTGTACTTCACCCCATCAAGTTAGCCCAAATAGTCACTTTGCGTTATTTTCAAAAAATTATTTGAAGCTAAAGTGACAAACGGGGATAAAAATTTCTTGGGGCGCCCTATTTATTCTCCCTCATTTAACATGTATCCACTTTTTAATTTTTTTTTAAAGAGTACCAAAAGTATAGAAAACTTCAGATCTTTTTCTCCTCCTCCTCTTTCTTCTTCTTCTTCGCTGTGAAAATAAAGGTGACCATAAATTTATATGGTGTTTGTGAGCATATTTTAAGGTGGTTCAAGGTGTTTTACGGTAGTGAGCTGCCGTAACGCTTTATTTTTTACTAGTGCTTAGAGTTTCTTTTTCTTCGTAGTTGCAAATCGGTTTGTTAGATTTATTGTTGTTTTGACAAATTGATGATTGAGATTTGTTCTTGATGATATTTGGAGGTTATGTTTCAAATTTGAGTTAATTTGGAGTAGATTTAAGTGTTAAATCGTGTATTGAATTGTTAAAATTCGAAGAATAAATTTAGTTTCTGGGTAATTTGTACTTTAGACCTATTTGGCCTTAAGTGCATGAAAACATTAGCAGCACTTCAGACTTGACTTAAGTGTATCTGAAGTTCAATTTTTTTAACTTCAGACCTATTTGGCCTTAAGTGCATGAAAACATTTGTTGGCTAGATTCGGTAAGGGATGGGACGGGCTAGCCGGGTTCCGGGACGGGTTGGCTAGGGTAAGGGGTGGGACGGGGTCGGGCCTTTTTTGGCTACCGGTGCACCGGAACCCGGCTAGCCCACTAACCCTTCTAGTCCGATTTATGTTGTAATTTTATTTTATTTTTAAATTCTGACCAGTCAAAATAAAAAATGACAGTTGGGCAACGGCCATTTTTTACACTTTTAGCCATTTCGGACTATCCCCTTACTAAAATAACCCATCCACCCCTAATAATTGATAAATTACATTCTTAGCCTTTTAATTACTATAAATAGCCCCCTTCTTCTTCATTTTTTTCACAACTTGGTCTCTTCTTCTACTCTAATTCTCTCTTAATTCCCTTTTGATTATTGAATTGCTTATTGCTCTCAAGTTCTCAATTAATTAATATTTTAATTTTTATCAATTATTTACGGTAACCACTACAAAATTATAATTATCATTTGAAGTGTGGTTACCATTTTTGTTAGGTTCAAGTTAAATCATGCCTCGTGCTTCTAGAGTGTGTTCACATATTTGGGAACACTGGTAGAAGAAAATGAAGAAGTTGGCAAAGTAAAGTGCAAGAACTGTGGTCGAATCTTTAATGTTCATCGAAAGTGGGAGGGCACAGCTGGTTTGAGGAGGCATATCAAGGGTTGTCTTGTGCGTCCTCCAAAAATTTATATTTAATTTAATTTGAGACAATTTGTGTTATTTTGAATTTGTTAGACTTATTTAAGCTTAATGTGTTTGTTTATAAGACAAGTAAATCTAAAGTATTATTATGCAATAACAATATGAAATGAAAGCCATTGAAGTTTGATCCTTACATATTGGTCTTATTAAATAATTTTATGCAGCCACTTAATTTCAATTTTTAAATTTTAAAATTCAAATTTCAAATTTAAAACTTTAAACTTTAAAGTTTAAAAGTTTAATTTTATGCCTTAAAATACTTATTTTATTATTTAAAAGTTTGCAAACACTCAAGTAATAATTATATTGAACAAGGAAATATAATACACTAAAAAAATAAAAAATTAAACTTGGCCCGGTCCGAACTCGATAAGCCCGAACCCGGACGGGCAATCCCAGCCCACTAACCAGTCCGTCCCACTAACCGGACGGACTGTTTTTTCCATGTCCAGCCCGATCAAGCCCGTTCGCTAAACACCCATAGTTAACATCACCTTCATGGACAGCTACCCAATTATCAAGTCTCATTTTGAACTATAGAAAACATTTTCCGACTTCCAATGCAATTTTTCAGTACTACTACATAACTCCCACATCAGACTTTGCAAAAAATAGCTCAAGTAGTATAATCTTCATGAAGTAGGATAAATCATGTTATCATTATACGTACAAAACAACACAATCAATCATTTCCTTTTTCCTCGAGGAGAAGTATTGACGGTGTAATTATCCGCAAATTGGAAGAATTGTGTTGCAACTTAGCAAGTTTGAAATCCAATCTTGTAGACCAAGAATTAAAACATAGTAGTAACATTTGAGGAAGAATTAACCTAACACCATACCCATGAACAAAAGAGAAAATGAGCCATTTTTCACTATTTGGATTAAACACTATTTCTTGTAAACATTATGGCATAGTAATAATTTTCACAATATAAATTAGGTGTGAATAATAACATTCTTTTGAAGTTCTTTTATCATATTTATAATGTAGGTAGTCTATCCTAATACAAGTATCAGTGGTTGGTTCCACCCGAACTTAAAAAGTGACTTCAGAAAAGGCCACTTGCGCAAATTTCATTTGAATCCAATAATCTCCATATCCGAAGACAATATAATCTCCAAAAGAAAAAGGGGGAAAAAACTAACTAACCAGGTTGTAAATCTCAAGTCCAGCAGAAAACAGAACATCACAAATGGTGCATAACTGGGCCAAATATGTCTCATGCCAAAATACGTAGAAATGATATCAGATGGCTACTCTAAAGGGTTGCTCTTTAGAAATTAGCCAGTGTGTCTTAAATTTCAATTTTTTAATTTAATTTTTCAAGAAAAAATATCCTGAATTGTCCTAATTTAATATTTTTAGTTTAAAATTTTAAAATAAAATAAATAATGGCTAATCTTTAAATAGCATATTAAGAATGACTGTTCTATGCACTTGCCCCCAAATACCCAGTTGTACTTGGGCTCCTAATCCAACCCAAATAGAATTCACTAAAGCCTACAAAAATCTTATATCTTCATCTTCCCACAAAAACCTCTGATAAATCCCCTATCTTGAAGCTTATACTGATAACTGATGGAGTACTAACTGATAAACCCAAGTAGAACAAGAAGACATCACTACCTTTTCTTGAGCTTCATCCCAATTCCATTACCTAAAAGTCTGTAACTTCCACTGCAGCAATGCTTAGCCTGGGAAATTTTCCAAGGCAACCCCAATATTGTGCTACCATTAATAACAGCCCAATTTCACAAATTCTTCCTCTTTATTCCAAGATTGCTCAAACCCAGTTGTTTTTCCCTTCAAATACAGTGACCCATCAAAGCATTCGTTCTCTTCCGTGGCAAAAACGAACTGGGGTGTGCATTTTTGCACTCAAGGATGAAGAAAAAAGTGGAAATAATGTAGTAGAAATGGAAAATCTTGATGATGATGATTTTTTAGTGGATGAGGATGATGATGTGGAAGGAGATGATGACGATGACGATGACGCTGATGATGAGGTAATAATTCCATTAAGGAATATGAAGAAGTGGTTAGAAAACAAGCCTAGTGGATTTGGAGTAGATAAAGTGTATGATACTTCTGTTGAGGATAAGTTGATGGAAGAAATTGAGCAGAGTAAAAAAGCTCAGCTTGCAAATATTAATAAACTCAAGAACAATCCGGTTAAAGCTAATTCTAAACATGTTCAGCAGGATAAAGGTAACTTCTTTTGATATTTGGTTTTTATTAATTTCTGTTATGTGTTATGAGCTTCTGCTGGACATAGGATCTTGCTAGAGGCAAAATGATTAAATTATGTATTTCAACTATGTATTAGTTGCCCGCAAGTATGAATCATTTATCATATTAACGAATTAATAAGAGCTGAGCTAAGTATTGTGATTGTTAGCATAGCCTGAAGTCCTATAGTACCTATTGTCTGTAATTAGTCTGATAAATATCTTACTTAGGAATACAGATTCTTTTATGCTAATATATTATTTTAGAGAAATTAAACTAAAGTTAACCACTTTTCTGCAATAACATTATAGAATCAGAGTATAAATTAGTCAACCCCCCCCCCCC